GATCATAAAAACAGCCCTGAACTTGAACACCAGTGTATTTTCATGAACTGCTGTTAATATTTTTGTACCACCAGTATTTGAAATGACACATTCTAAACAAACACAGTAGTTCACCAACTTACAAATGAATAAACAATAACTTGGCTTAAAGACTTTTACAGAATCATCTCTAAATCCTCCTTGGCTCAATAAAACTTATTCTTAAACTTACATAAACATCCTGTTCTGTAAATGGCATCGTCTTTATACATTTAACTCACCTGTAAACACAGAAAAACATCTGAGCCTCTGGAAGCTGAACCAGACTCAGTTGTTTTACTACTGCACTTTTACCGACACCTACTGGACAGACCTGGTATTACAGCTGTAAATGAACAAACACAGAAACGAACCAAAATATCCTCAGAACAATCAACAAATTAAAAAGTTACTGGGGGCGTATCTGTCAGTGGAACAAGACTTTTTGTACGTAAAATATAAAAATACATCTTGCTGCACTTTACACTTAAAATAAGAAACTAAATCAAATGTTGCTTGAATTAAGAAAAACACATTTATTCCATTGGCAGATCATTTTATTTGTCAAATTAAATCGACTCAAAAATATTTAAATGTTCTTAATTTAAGTCATTTTAACTCACCTAAATAGTGTTTTGTTTTTGTTTTTTTTCCAAGTATATGTACTTTTGGAGACCAGAATTTTTGTACAAAAATTTTAAAAATACATCTGGTTACACAAAACATAAAAAAAAATTAAAAAAAATACAATAAAAATAAAAATTCTTTGCACTTAAAATAAGAAATGAGATCTTATTTTGTTTAAATCAAGAAAAAAATTACTTATAATTTTATTTAGAATCTTACTTGTCAAGTCAAATCTACGGAAATCAAGTTAAATGTTTTTAATTTGAGTCATTTTAATTTACATAGATATGACTTTTGTGTATAAATGTAGATTTTTTGATGATCTTGTCTCACTTTTTTGTGCCAAATTGAATTAAAACCTTTGTAACGTTGAGTCTGTGTGATTTTCAGCGGTCGGACGCAGAAGCAGCTGCTCGAGTGTTTGGGATCAAGTTCAGGAGACAAGAAAATCTCAACATTTGACAGGTAAAAATATAATAAATATACTATAGTTAAAGCCACAGTGTGTAACTTTATGGAGATGGCGAGTGAACGGCACGATTCCAAGGAAAAAGAACTTTAAAACTGCACTTCAGAACATTCTCCATGGAGATTTTATGACATATGGTGGAATATTACAGCCAAAGAAACATTTCCATAGAAGCACAACCAAAATGACAAAAACAATATGCCCTTATAGCTTATTTTTTGGCTAAAAAGTTACATACTGTGGCTTTAAAGGTGCATTGTGTACACTGCAAAAAAGCTTGACCAAAATTTAAGATCTAAACACTTAAATCTATCAGAAATGACTTAAAAGCAGTGAAATGATCTGTCTGTCTCTTCAAATAAACGACTTCTAGACGAGAATAAAGCGTCTCTGCTCAGAGTTCATGGGCTAGAAATAAGATTATGATGCTGAGTTTGAGATAAACAGACTTAAAATCAGTTTATGCTCAGTGTTCATGGTCTGATAATAAGTTCTCAGATGCCAAATTCAAGATAAAATGCTTTAAATTCTGCTAAATTCTAGATAAACGGAATTAAAACCAGTGTGTGACGAGTATGAAGGGTCTGAAAATAAATTCATAGATGCTTAATTCTAGATACAAGGGTCAGTCCGTATGAAATCAGCCGTTTTCAAAGAATCTCCCTTATGAGCCATCTCACATTTGGCTGAAAAAAATTCTAAAAATTTCTAAAATGACCAAATGAAAGAATCAAAAATTTTAAAACCATAATTCGTTTTTTTATAACCCCTAAACAACAAATGAGAAGGAACCCGAACAGCTCTGCATGTTGGAGGCTTGCGGAGATAACGAGGCTCACCACACCCACATATTTTGGTCTTGTGTGAAACTGAAAACATTTTGGACACATGTTGGATCAACAATTGGACAAATAACTGGTTTCACTATTAATCAAAATGTGATGACACTATACATTGGAGATGTACCAGATTTACCAAACAATGTCAGATATTTATTCAAAATCCTTTGTGCCTGTGCAAAAAAGGCAATGACACGTAAGTGGCTTCAACCAGATCCACCTACACTAGAAGACTGGTTAAAAATTGTTGAAGAGACTCATAAAATGGAACGTTTGACACACATGCTAAGGCTCCAAGCTGATGTTTACTATGCAAGATGGGCTAAATGGTCTAAATATCAGTGTGTTTAATTTAGTTAATAGACAGGGCTGCCACAGCTAAGTACTTACAAAAAAGAGCATTCCAGGGGAACATGTAAGAGTGTTGTGTGTACATTTGTGTGTGTATATCATAAGTATATGTGTACATATATATACTCCCTCCTTTTATGTAAGTGTGTGTGTATATATAGTTATATATATGTAATTTCTCCCCATCTAAACATGTGTTAAATTCCTTGCCGATTGTACCTGTTTTGTTTTGTTATAGGAATGTTAATATATAAAGTACTTAATAAAAATTAAGTGACAAAAAAAGAAAGAATCAAAAATTTTAGCTCAGTCCCTTGAGTTGTTTCTGAGTTATGACCCGCTGAAATTTTGGGGCCATGGGCATTTTTTCGGAAGCATGAATTTAAAGCATTTTTGAGAGACGATAACTTCATAAAAAATACAGTTAGGAAGCTGAAAATTTGTAGTATTGTAGATTAGTAATTTTTAGGGAATATTAGACATTTGTGTTCATATTAATAGTAGTAAAAACAGTAGAATAAATATTACAAAAGTGTGTTTTTATGTGTTTTCAGGACGTATTATCAGTCTGATTATGATGAGAGGCAGTGCAGATCCTCTCCAGACCTGCTCACAGACGTCTCCAAACAGGTGAGGACATTTGTTTGGTAGAAATTTACAAGAAAAATCTGCAAATTTGCCGATAAAAAAAACCCCCAAAACAAGTGAGTCTATTTGTTATATTACACAAAACTGACTCTTGTGAGGTTTAAGTCGAGTTCTGATGTCGTTTCCTTGTCAAAAACAGATCTGGAGTTGTGTTTTATTTCATTCATGTTTGAGTAAATCTTTATTATTTGTCCGTTTACATTTACAAAACTCAAGCTCAAAGATTTAAGTCTCATCTTAAAACCCACTTTTACTCTGTTGCTTTAACACAGTGTGACTTGACTTGGACTTGACCACAAATGTACTTTACTGTACTTTAAATGTACTTGAATTGACTTTACTTTAAATATACTTTACTTTAATTTAATTTACTTTACTTTAAATGTACTTGAATTGACTTACTTTAATTTACTTTAAATGTACTTGAATTGACTTTACTTTAAATATACTTTACTTTAATTTAATTTACTTTACTTTAAATGTACTTGAATTTACATTACTTTAAAGTTACTTTACTTTAAATGTACTTTACTTTACTTTAATTACTTTACTTTATTTACTTTACTGTACTTTAATTACTTGAATTGACTTACTTTAAATATACTTTACTTTAATTTAATTTACTTTACTTTAAATGTACTTGAATTGACTTTACTTTAAATATACTTTACTTTAATACTTTAACTTTAAATGTACTTTACTTTAATTTAATTTACTTTACTTTAAATGTACTTGAATTGACTTTACTTTAAATATACTTTACTTTAATTTAATTTACTTTACTTTAAATGTACTTGAATTGACTTTACTTTAAATATACTTTACTTTAATTTAATTTACTTTACTTTAAATGTACTTGAATTGACTTTACTTTAAATATACTTTAATTTAATTTACTTTACTTTAAATTACTTTAATTTAATTTACTTTACTTTAAATGTACTTGAATTTACATTACTTTAAAGTTACTTTACTTTAAATGTACTTTACATGTATTTTACTTTACTTTAAATGTACTCGAATTGACTTTACTTTAAATGTACTTTACTTTAATTTACTTTACATTACTTTAAATGTACTTTAATTTACTTTACTTTAAAATTTACTTCAAATGTACTTTACTTTAAATGTATTTTAATTTAATGTAATCATTTTAAAATAATTTTTAGCTTTATGCATTTTAACACTGTTTATTTATTGTTTTTATTTATTATTTATTGTCTTGTCATTTTAATTTGTCTGTGCAGCACTTTGGAAACTCATGTTTATAAAATGTTCTATAAAAATAAAGTGGACTGGTTTGAAAACGTTCTGTTCCACCTTGTGATGTCATGAAGCGATAGTTTTCAAATTAACAGCCGAATTTCACTTTGAGTTCGGCGGAGATTCGACCTGGAATTTCTTTACCAACCTCTTCTGAATTAGAAGAAGTAAACCACCACTTCATGACATCACAAGGTGGAACAGAGCGTTTTGAGGTTTGGAAATGTAGACGGACTAATAAAAAAGAGACAAAAACAAAACACAAGTCCAGCTCTGTTTGTGAGGAGGAAACAACTTCAGAAAATAGATCAGAAAATTAAAAATGTGTAAAAATATTTCTTAAATTTCTCGCTTTTCTTTTTCTCTCTTCAGATTTTCGATCACTCGTTCCTGTTCCCGCCGCCTTCTCGAGTTTTGACCGTCCAGAGCGACGACGAACTCGACCCCCAGCGCCGCCGCCACTTCAGCGACTACGACCCGACCTTCGACCCCGACGGCGTGTCCAAGCGCTGCCACTCGTCGTCCGAAGTCGCCGCCGCCCGCCCGTTCCGCCCGTTCACCCAGGTCACGCCGCTCTCGCCGTCGCCGTACCGCGCCGCCTCCCCGAAACTCCGCGCCGCCTCCACCTCGGGCGCCGACGACCCCCGGCAGTTCGCGCGGGTCGGCCAACTCCGGCAAGCTCAAAGACTGGCCGGGGTCTACGCCAACCGCTCGAAACGCCGACCCAACCCGCAACCGCCGCCCGACGCTCCGCAGGGATTGGTCCTTTTGTACCCCAACAACCCCGCCTACCAGTACCACCCGGTTCTGCCGTCGTTCCCGATGGCGACGCCGTTACAAAAACACCCGTATTTGTCCGATTACGTTTCGTCTTTGGAACGTTTCACGCAACCTCAACGAAGGGATTTCACCGCCGTAGACGGACGCCAAACGTATTTCGATTCGCCGACGCCGAGGAGGAACTTGCGCCCGTACGGATCCGGCGGGTTGGGGTTGCCGCGCGTTTACCCGCCGGGAAGCAACGGGGGGAGGTTACTGGGCGTCGGGCAAGTCGAGGCGGGGCATTACAGCGACGACTGCAGCTTCCTTCCCGGTTTGCCGCGTCGCGTCGCCAGCCAGCCGGACGTCAAGTTTACGTTTCCGAGAAGCGCGAACCCGGCGTCGGAGTTTCGCCCGTTGGGATACTACCCGCACCTGACCCGGCCGACCAGACCCACGTACCTGCCGCTGAACTCGTCGCCGTTGCCGGAGCGGCCGGTGTCCATGTGCGTGTTCGGCGGCGCGTCCGGGAGCTACAGCGACACGGAGCCGGAAGTGTTTTATCCGTATTACTTAGCCCCGCCTCCTCTGGGGAACGTGGGGAGGGCGACGGCGGCGGCGGCGGCGGGTCTGGCGCGGATGAGGTTTTCGTCGGGAAGTTTGCAGCTCGACGAGGAAGAAGAGGAGGACGAGGAAGAGGAAATGAAAGAATCGAAGGGTAAAAAAGAGATGAAGATTGAAGTCGAGCGAAGAGAAGACGAAAAAGGAGCCGCGAAAATCACCAAGATCACTCTGTAGACGAGATGTCGGAGAGTTAGACGGTTTTGTTTGTGAGTTTGTTAAATGTACAGACAGTTGAAGTGTTTTCATCGTAGACTGTGTGAAGAAGTGAACTGAGAGTGTGACGTCACCCACAGTGTTCCAGGCAAATAGATATTTTTTTCCACAACGGCTGAAGTGTCTCGCTTTAGGTTTGTGGAACTTCCAGTTAATGGTTTTCTGTGGCAAAATGTTTGTTCAAATGTGTGGCGTAAGAAAGTCAAAACTTAAATCAGGGTGCTCACTTTTTCAGCATGTGAAAAATGAAAGACCGACTACAAAGACAATCAAACTGTTCTACACTCAAACACTCTGTGCTTCTTTTTTGGACCCTCACCCACAGTTTGAGAAGCTCTTCTTTAAGAGAACTTCCTCTGGAACTTTACACAAAACTGTGAAAAAAGTGAAGGAAGATTTTTAAACCCGTTTTTTCAAGTTTCTAACTGGAGTTTCATTCTCTTACTGGTTTTGCAGTTTATCTCTGCACATTTAACCATTTCACAAACCAAATACACACGTGACAAACACAGATGCATTTGTGCACTTTTATTAGGCAAACTTCAGTCACATGTCGCTGTCACTGTAGTTCTGTTCTGTGCCAACACTGGAACATAAATTTAGATTCGTTTTTGCTTTGCATTTCATCTTGCCCTGCTAATCAGAGCACATTGAGGAGCCTGTGTGCTGTACGCGGGGAGGAGCGGTGCTGATGTGAGGCAGAAGAACATGTTTCAAAAAGTTTAACCTGCCCCGTGACACACGCTGGTACATGGGAACACACGCTGTTGCCGACAAACCACGCGCAGGGGGGGGGTGTGTGTGGTGACGTGCCACACAGTGTCCGCGGGCTCCAGGTGAGCGCACAGGCTGCAGAGACGCCCAACGCTCCCGCACACCGGTACAAGTTTATTACCAACAGCAGAGGTCGTAATGAAATATGATCACACTCGTCCAAGTCCAAACACGGTCAAGTCTGAGTTGAGACCAAAGACAGTAAAAAACAGTCTCGAGGTCAGTAGCAAGTCCTACGACACTACGATCGACCCACACTACCTCAGCGATCGACGTATGTGGCGTCCCTGACTTAAACACTACAGACTAACGACGAGCATTAGTGAACTACTGAGCAGAACTAATGTTATGGTCCTAGAAAAGTCTCACATTCAAATTAAAAAATCTCTGTCTGTGAAAATATCAACATCATGAAATCAATTTTTCAATTTTAATTGTAGAATGAGTCTGATGATCAGAACATGAGTTGAGTTTGTTGTGTGACTCATGTGTCGTCGTCGTTTCCTTTCAGTTTTGTTCTTTCTTGTCTTGATCGTTGTGGATAAACTGTTCATGTTAGAATGTTTATCGTCTGTGGAGTTCGTTGGTTGAAGCTGCTGAAGAACACGACACTTTTACACAGAAAAACATTGAACCTGAAGTTCCACAAAACCTCCAGCGCGACACTTCCGGCCGTCGTGAAAAAGTTCTGTTTCTCTAAGACGGTTTTCTGTAAATGGATTCTTGCTTTTTTCAAACCTACCTCATGTTTAACAGTAACTTCTTCTTCAGAGACGTCGGTGGTCGTATCGTGACAAACGTTCAGAGTAAAAAACTTCTAAATACTGTGTTTTTAAAGGATAATGTGATGTTAATGTATTTATAATGTTTTGTTCTTTGCCAATAAAATGTGAACAAAGAAAAACTGCAATTGTAATTTCACTGACCAAAATAACAAAAGCTCTTTAAATCACGTTTGTTATTTTCTTAAAACTTTTTGTTAAGTGTCCATAAAACTCATCCTGTAGATCAGTTTACTCAAGATGTTGAAAGTAAAGAAAATGAGTATCGAGGTCTAAATGAAAACTAAACCAATTCTAAATAAGAACTAAACAAGGATTTACGACGGAGTAAAAGGGTCAGATAAAAAAAAATAAAAATAAAAAATGCTGGTGCTACGAGAATAAAGTCGTAACATTTAGACATTAAAGTTATAATATTACGAGAATAAAGTCGAAGCCAGAAAAAGTCATAATTTTACAAAAATAAAGTCATAATTTTACAAGAATAAAGTCATAATTTTACAAGAATAAAGTCGTAATTTTACAAAAATAAAGTTGTAATTTTACAAGAATAAAGTTATAATATCACGAGAATGAAGTCGTAATAAAATCAAAGTCAAAGTGAAAAATGTGGCAGAAAAAGAACCTTGTTTTTCAAAATAAAACCAAAAATAAGAAAACGAAAAAAACAACAATTTTCTTCATTATTTGCGCCTCCGGACTAAACCAGGACTGAACCAGGTCCGGGACCAGACCGGGACTGAGACCAGGATTGAGACCGGGAACGGGAACAAGACCAGGACTGAGACTGGGACTGAAACCAGGACCAGACCAGGACTGAGACTGGGACTGAGACCGGGACCAGACCAGGACTGAAGATGGGACCAGACCAGGACTGAAAACGGTTTAGTCCTGGTTTAGTTCTGATTCAGTCCTGGTTCAGTCCTGGTTCAGTCCTGGTTCAGTCCTGGTTCAGTCCTGGTTCAGTCCTGGTTCAGTCCGTATGCGGCGCAATATTCCTGCATCGCATTTTAAAGTCACGAAAAAGCTGTTTCCCATTTCCGTGACGTAAACCAGGACTAAACTATTTTCAGTCCTGGTCTGGTCCTGGTCTCAATCCTGGTCTTTCTGGTTTGGTTCCGGACCTGGTTTAGTCCTGATTCAGTCCTGGTTCAGTCGAATGAACCAATGATACACAGATTCTTCTCCAAATTCTCCAGAGACTCAGACTCGTTCAGACTTTCTGAGCAGCCGATTTTCTCCTAATATCACCACTTTATTTTGACTACGACTTTATTCTCATAAAATTAGGACTTTAATGTTGAAATGTTACGACTTTATTCTCGTAGCAACAGCATCATTTTTTAATTATTTTTTTATCTGACCCTTCTACTCCGTCGTCAGGACTAAATCAGGACAAAATTTTTATTCTGAGTTTTAGTTGATGAAATTTTAAATGTATATTTTCAAAGTGTATAAAATGCAATATATATATATATAAAATCTGCAATAAATATTAAATATTCAGCGCAAATAATTCAAAATAAGTCAAAATTCAGAGTGTAAAATTTGCAGCAAAGATCTAAAATGCTGTGAAATTTTACACTGAATTTTGTTGGTGAAAAATCGGCACAAAATATTTAAAAGGTGAATTTGAAACACTGAAAAAGTAGACTTAGAATTTCAGCAACTCAAATTCAGATCAAAAATAATTCAAAAATTTTTTTTTGAGAGTTAAAAAAGTCAAAGTGAGAAATTCAGCGATATTTAAAATTCAAAATCAAAAAGAATTCTAATTTAAAAACCAATTCGTCATCAAAAAACAAAACAAAAAACACAAAATCTCAATCAAACTTAAATATTTATTCATACAATTCGACATCCCTCTACAAAATAACAGAACGTACAGTATGTGTGACTTTAATTTTCCAAACCTCCCTCCTCCAAAAACATTTTCAATCCCTTATTCAGAATATAAAAGACAAACATTTACAAGAGAATATAGTGTCTTTGGTAAAAACATCACAAACTTCTTCCTATGAACCGTGTACCAGAAACGCTCCGAGTAAAAATATATTTACAAAAAGATCACGAGTTTGATTTGGTTTAATGTTAAAAAAAAAAAAAAAAAGACTCTTGTGAGGTTAAAGTTGAGTTTTAATGTCGTTTCCTCGTCAAAAACAAACCTGGAGTTGTGTTTTTGTTTCATTCGTGTTTGTGTAACTTTTTATCCAATTACAAGTTTGAACAATTATAAAACACAAACGAACAGGAAGTTTATAAAAGGAAAAAAAAAGAAAAAAAAAAAAGAATGAAAACAGTGACATCGAGATGAAGAAAACAGACGGTTTTCTCGGGTTTCTACAAGAATTTGACAAGAATAAAAAAAGATTCAACCGAAGATAAAATTAGACCTAAACCAGGACTAAACCAGAACTAAACCAGATCTAAACCAGGACTAAACCAGATCTAAACCAAAGACTAAACTAGGTCTAAACTAGGACTAAACAGGACTAAACAGTCTAAACTAGGTCTAAACCCGGTCTAAACTAAACCAGGTCTAAACCAGGTAAACCAGGTCTAAACCAGGTCTAAACTCTAAAAAAGTCTAAACCAAGAAAACCAGACTAAACCAGATCTAAACCAGGACTAAACCAGGTCTAAACAAAGACTAAACTAGGTCTAAACTAGGACTAAACCAGGTCTAAACAAAGTCTAAACAAAGTCTAAACCAGGTCTAAACCAGGACTAAACCAGGACTAAACCAGGTCTAAACCAGGTCTAAACAAAGTCTAAACAAAGTCTAAACCAAGACTAAACCTGGACTAAACCTGGACTAAACCAGGTCTAAACAGGTCTAAACCAGGACTAAACCAGGTCTAAACCAGGACTAAACCAGGACTAAACCAGGACTAAACCAGGTCTAAACCAGGACTAAACCAGTTCTAAACCAGGTCTAAACCAGGACAAACCAGGACTAAACCAGGACTAAACCAGGTCTAAACCAAACCAGACTAAACCAGGACTAAACCAGACTAAACCAGACTAAACTCTAACCAGGTCTAAACCAGTAAACCAGGTCTAAACCTAAACCAGGTCTAAACCAGGACTAAACCAGGTCTAAACCAGGTCTAAACCAGTCTAAACCAGGTAAACTAAACTAAACCAGGACTAAACCAGGACTAAACCAGGTCTAAACCAGGACTAAACCAGGACTAAAACCAGGACTAAACCAGTAAACCAGGACTAAACCAGGACTAAACCAGGTCTAAACCAGGTCTAAACCAGGACTAAACCAGGACTAAACCAGAACTAAACCAGGACTAAACCAGAACTAAACCAGGACTAAACCAGGACTAAACCAGAACTAAACCAGGACTAAACCAGGACTAAACCAGGTCTAAACCAGGACTAAACCAGGACTAAACCAGGACTAAACCAGGTCTAAACCAGGACTAAACCAGACTAAACCAGGTCTAAACCAGGTCTAAACCAGGACTAAAACCAGGACTAAACCAGGTCTAAACCAGGTCTAAACCAGGACTAAACCAGGACTAAACCAGGTCTAAACCAGGTCTAAACCAGGTCTAAACCAGGACTAAACCAGGACTAAACCAGGTCTAAACCAGGTCTAAACCAGGTCTAAACCAGGACTAAACCAGGTCTAAACCAGGTCTAAACCAGGACTAAACCAGGACTAAACCAGGACTAAACCAGGTCTAAACCAGGACTAAATAGGCAATTTCTAAAAGGAAAAAAAAGAAAGTACACAGTGACATGTAGATGAAGAAAACCTGGACATGTTTCTTTCGCCAACAGAACCCGAAGAAAGTCGTCATCCGCATTTTTCCAAACGTCTTCCGCTTTTTTTCTGACGTAAACATGAACAGAACAAATTCCCGATCTAAAAGAAGCGTTTTTACAGCAGTTTGAGAGAAAAACTCAGCGTAAATCTAATCTTAAACGTGAATAAAACAAAAAAAAAAAAAACACAACTCCGGCGTGTTTGTTTGTGACGAGGAAACTTCAGGTCCTTTAAAATAATCGCGGTTTCACAGGTTACTTAAATTTCACGGACAAATTAGCTGTAACATTAAGACACGTGAATAATTTAAGATGTACTCGGCTTGGCACCTGTCGCACAAACGGAAATTTGAGTAGAACGAAAAACAGATGTGTCGTCAGTATTTAAAACTGACCAAAAAAAATAAATAAAAAAGTAATGTTATTGTAAAATTCAAGGCGGGTCTTTGTTATAGTTTATAGAAAAATTATAAAATATTTTCAGAATTTTCACAAACGTTGAACCTGAGAAATTAGTGTCAAGATTCACTAAAATATTACAGCAAATTTGTTCATTTTATTTTTTATTTTAGTAACAACTGAAAAGCGCATTTTGAAATGTGTAAATATTGAGTTTGTAATAATGTGTGAATTGATTTTTATGCTTTTATTTGAATTTTAAAGCTTCCGTTTGTAATTTATTTTGTATTTAGGTTAGAACGGCGGACTGACCCTGACTGACAGACAGGTGAGTCTGAGGAAAGGACAGGTGAGAGAAGGGGGAGGGGACAGGTGAGGGGAGGAGCCAGGTGACTCTGAACAAAGGCCAAAGGAGGGGACAGGTGAGGGAAAGAGGAGGGGACAGGTGAGGGAAAGAGGAGGGGACAGGTGAGGGGAGGGACCAGGTGAGTCTGACCAAAAGCCAGGTGAGAGAAGGGGCGCAGGGGCCAGGGAAGGGGAGGAGTCAGGGAAGGAGAAAGGGGAGGGGACAGGTGAGGGATGGAGGAGGGGACAGGTGAGTCTGAACAAAGGCCAGGGAAGGGAAGTGGGAGGGGACAGGTGACGGGAAGGGACAGGTGAGGGAAGGAGGAGGAGTCAGGTGAGGGAAGAAGAAAGGGGAGGGGACAGGTGAGGGGAGGGGGACCAGGTGAGTCTGAAAAAAAAGCCAGGTGAGGGGAAGGGGGAGGGGACACCTGAGGGGAGGAGGGACCAGGTGAGGGAAGTGGGAAGGGGAGGACAGGTAAGGGGAGGAACCAGGTTAGGGAAGGAGACAGGAGAGGGGGAGGGACAGGTGTGTCTGTCTGAAAAAAGGCCAGGTGAGGGAAGGGGGAGGGGACAGGTGAGGGAAGGAACCAGGTGAGGGATGGAGACAGGGGAGGGGACAGGTGAGTGGGGAGGGGACAGGTGAGTCTAAAAAAGGCCAGGTGAGGGGGGAGGGGCCAGGTAAGTCAGAAAAAAAAAAAACAGGGGAGGGGCCAGGTGAGGAAAAAGCTACAGTGTGAAACCTTTTCAGAAAAGTTTCACACTGTTGCTTTAATTATCTTCCTGTTTTTACTAAAAATATTGATCCCCTGATTTAATTTCCATTTATATTTTGTACATTTGTGCAAACCGTTCTAATTTATGATGTTAAAAATTTAGTATTTTGTCTTTTCTATGAGACGTAAAAACTATCTCAATGTTGAAATTAAAAAAAAAAACTTAAAAACAGGAACAGGACCAGGTGAGGGGCGGGGTCAGGTGAGGTTTCTAGTATATATAAACAAAAAAAAGTTACAGATGGTAGCTTTAAGTAACAAAAAAATCCAACAAAAAGCATAAACTCGCATTATCTTTTAACGTGTTTTCACTGTGTTATTATTATTATTATTTTTTTTTTATGAAATTGGTCTTTGGTCAGAATTTCCAAAAAAGGAGCACACACACAAAAGTTCGATTTTCATTTACAAAAACAACAACGTTATTGGCATTTCTCAAGTGCTAAACGGCTACACGACACGAACGCGGACAGGAAGCTCTCCCGCCGCCGCGTCCTGTCAAAATAAAAGCATGTACAGCAGAAATCAGTTAAGGCACTTTTCATAGTTTAAAGTCCAAACTCGAGCCCTTAAGTGAAACCGAAGAGACGGCGGCAGAGCGGGTCGGTGTTTGAGCCGGTCACGCTTCAAACAACAACGGTTTTATACAAGATACAAGACGAACGACTTCATTTTTACAGTTTGTTTTAAAAAATATTGTGAATTTAGTGATGGAAAATATTTTTAAATTAGAATTATTTGTGTTGATAGTTATAATCTGTGACTTTGTGGATCGTTCGGTTTTAATTTGGACGTTTTAAGTCACAATATTCATCTAAAATGATTTAATAAAACTGTGGTGTCCAGGACCGAACCAGGACTAAACCAGGACTAAACCAGGACTAAGAGCATTTTATTTTTTTTACATTTGGACCAAAACAACGACACGACGCTGCCCAATCCTACGAGTATCTACGATCAAGACCCTGATCTAGACCAGAATTTAAACCAGGATCTAGACCAGGAGCAAGGCCAAGATCTAAACCAGAATCTAAACAAGGATTAAGACCAGGGTTTAGATGAGGAGCAAGACCAGGATCTAGACCAGAATTTAAACCAGGATCTATATGAGGAGCAAGACCAGGATCTAGACCAAGATCTAGACCAGGATCTAGACCATCATCGAGACCAGGATCTAAATGAGGACCAAAACCAGGATCGAGACCAGAAATTAAACCAGAACTGAGACCAGGATTAAGACTGGGATCTAGGCTAGGAGCAAGACCAGGATTGAGCCCAGGATCGAGATCAAGATTAAAACCGAGATCAAGACTATGATCTAGACCAGGAGCAAGACTAGGACCTTGGCCAGGATCTAAACCAGGATCAAGACTAGGGTCTAGACCAGGATTAAGACCAGAGTAAACCCTGGTCTTAATCCTGCTTTTAAGACTAAAATCTAGACCAGGAGCAAATCCAGGATCTAGAACAGGATTTAGGACAGGATCTAGACCAAGAGCAAGTCCAGGATTGAGACCAAGATTAAGATAAAACAGGAACTAGACCAGGGCCAAGACTAGGATCTAAACCAGGATGTAAACCAGGATCCCACTAGAGCAGAGTTGTTGTTTTTTTTAACATTTGGACCAAAACGACGACGCTAGGCTCAATCCTACGCGTAAACGAGAACGCATTAACACATTTTTCAAGTTTCACTTTGATTTTTGCTTGCCTTTGCTCTCTCTGCTAACTCACTCCCCCTTCAGAGCGCTGCCACAACACAATCAGCCTGCACCCCGGTAACGAAACGACCGCACACCGCATCAGGTTTGTGTCGCGTTTTTGTATTTTTATAGCGAATTCTCGAGTCGCGTGAAGGACGTGGGCTCGTGGGCGGAGCCTCGTACTGAATCTCACCCGGGAGAGATCACTAGATTACTCAAACACGCACGGGTGACTCTAGAACGATGAGGGAACAACGTAAGAACACGGGAGAAAGCTAAAAAAAAAGCTAAAAAAAATCTAAAATAAAAAAAAATAATAAAGTGGATAATTTAACAAATAAATATACAAAAAAATAATAATAATCATGTAATTTTATCCTAAATTATTATGACTGTTGTATCTTATAAAACTCTGATAAAATAATTTTGTGAAAGCGTGACACGACTGAAATATAAACCCACTCTGCCGGCTTCAGTACAAAGATCTGTGCAGCTTCATCACTTTGAACATAAATACAGAGAATAAAAAGTATGATATAATTTTGTGATTTGGTTTTTAAAGGTGGATCCCAGTCAGAAAAACCAGCAGCAGTGATTAAACAGACTTCAAATATAAAGTGTGTATAGTACAGAAGTGTGTACAACCAGACGAGACTCCGCACAGCAAAATCTCCAAACACGTCCCAAAAAAACAGTCTCTGACAAACCCAGGACGCCAACATCAGTTATTTGTGAATCTGGAAAACACGAAAGAAAAACAAAACACAGAGAATTAAATTTAAAGACGTGAACAAGTCACATTCAGAAACATATTTAGTCAAGTTTGGAGAGTTTTAAGGTTTCAATTTTTACATCTTGGTTGGAAATGTTATATATATTCTTCCTTATTCATCCTGTTTTTTGTTTTGTTTTTACTTTATTTTATTATTTTTATTTATTAATTTATTTTTAATTTACTTTAATTTTAATTATAATTTAATTTAATTTATTTTTTTTTTTAGTAAGGTATTGATTTTATTATTTTTGTTCACAGATTATTATTTTATCTATTGATTCTTTTAGTCTCTTGGTTGGAACATAATTCTGATGATGAAGCAATTTGGAAACCGTCTTGTTTATAAAATGTGCTGTGCAAATAAAACTGGACTGGACTGGAAACAGTAATGTCACATTAGGGCAGAGGCAGAGTCCTGCACCGGGTCAAGTATCGGCAAATAGTTGCGTACGGAACAGGGGCAATGTCTGCGCGCCGCCGCGGAGTACGGATGGGTGGGAGTCTGCGCCGCGGCGTACGAGAGGTGGGACAGTCTGCTGCTTAAAAGGTTTTTATTAATGTAAAAAAAATCTCCAGCACAAATGATGCATGATATTCTTACATTCATCACTTGTATATTTTACTTTACTCTCATATTTAGTTTGTGGGACTAACATCCCACCCACCTGCTCCTGCGATGTGCAGACTCACTCCCACCTGCACCACAGTGAACTTTCAAAATGTGTCCCGCACTGCACTGCTTTGTGTCGGGTGCAGGGCTTTACCTGGTTTTCAGTCCTGGTTCAGTCCTGGTTCAGTCCTGGTTCAGTCCTGGTTCAGTCCTGGTTCAGTCCTGGTTCAGTCCTGGTTCAGTCCTGGTTAGTCAGTCAGGGTTCAGTCCAGAGTCCTGGTTCAGGTTCAGTCCTGGTTAGTCCTGGTTCAGTGGTTCAGTCCTGGTTCAGTCCTGGTTCAGTGGTTCAGTCCTGGTTCAGGAGTTTCAGACCTGGTTCGGAGTCAGTCCAGTCAGTCAGGTTCAGTGGTTCAGTCCTGGTTCAGTCCTGGTTCAGTCCTGGTTCAGGTTCAGTCCTGGTTCAGTCCTGGTTCAGTCCTGGTTACCTGGTTCAGTCCTGGTTCAGCAGGACTGGTGGGCAGAGGGTTCAGTCCTGGTTCAAACCTGTTTTTCCTCGATGGGTCAAAATGGACACAGTGAACCAAAGGCCAAACATTTTATATTTTTAATGTAAAGATGTGATATTTATCCTTAAATTGTCTTTATTTATTGTTCTTTCTGGAGGAAGAGTCCAGTGTTTTGTGCTCACTTTTTGTTTCTAGTCTTTTCAGCACAAAAGGTAATTAAAATAGATCATCTTTCACTTGGTGCACTCGGCCGTGGTGACAGGTGCAGACAGGTGCAGACAGGTGCAGACAGGTGCAGACAGGGTGTTACCTGGCGAGGATGTGAGTGACCATTCTGTCTGTGATCCCTGGACAAACGTCTTCAGCCAGTCGGATGTTCCTCTCCAGCTCCTCGATGGCCATCCTCTGCTCCGAGTGCTCCTTGTGCTGCTGCTTCAACTGACAAACAAACAAACAAACAAACAAACAAACAAACAAACAAACAAACAAACACAACACTGTTAAAAAGACACTGCGGAACATTCCAGGTTCTGTGTTCTTACTTCACAGAGGCTGTCGAGTTCAAATCACTTTACAAAATAAACTGGGTGTAACATTGTGCAGAAAGATGAATCCTTGTGTTTATTTATTTAATGTGTTTTTATGTGTCCCAAAATATTTAACGTCATTTCACAGGTCAATAATTTTGTCAATTCTTGTTGAAATAACCTCAAATTTTCACAGAATTTTTAGAAACAGATCAAGATTTATATTTAATGTTTTACTTTTGTTCTGTGTGTCTGGAATCTGCTGCTCACACTCACCCAAGACTGAGCAGCTTCAACACAACATTTGGACAAAACTTCAACAACTGGAAAAACTAATTTTGATTTGGTACCAAAAATTTAAAGAAGGAGGATCTCAGATGGATGGAGGATCTTCTGCAGGATTAAAGGACGACATACGTGCGCAGCAGATTCCAAGACGCAAAATGACTTCTGTTTGGACGTGAACGGCTAAAAATATGAGATTATTTCAACAAGAACTGACAAAATTATTGGCCTGCGAAATGATTTAAAATTTTTTTTAGAAGAACCTGAATATCGAACACGAAGTGGAACAAAGCGTTTGGAGTTTTGTGGATGTAAACCAGAGGTGTTCACACTTTTTCATCATGTGAGCTACTTACAAAATGACCAAGTCAAAATGATCGACCTAATACAAAGTCAAACAAACTGCACTGAAACACTCTGTGCCCCTTTTTTGGACCCTCCCCCACAGTTTGAGAACCTCTTCTTTAAGAGAACTTCCTCTGGCACTTTACACAAAACTGTGAAAAAAGTGAAGGAAGATTTTTAAACCTGTTTTTTAAAGTTCCAAACTGGAGTTTCATTCTTTTCTGGTTTTGCAGTGATATTTACCAGCCTCTGCACGTTTACCAAACCAAACGCACATCGTGACAAACACAGATGCATTTGTCACTTTTGTTAGACAAACTTCAGCCAAATGTGGCAGTAGGTCTGTTCTGTAGATCCGCTCTATGCTGTAGACCTGCTTTGTGCCGACACTGGAACACAAATTTAGACTGGTTTTTGCTTCACGTTTGGTCTTGCTCTTCTAATCAGCCGCACTGTGGGAGGGGCTTGTGTTGGCTGTACGCAGGAAGGAGCGAGAGCGTGAAAAGGCGAGGGGCGGCGTGCTGACGTGAGGCAGATGGACAGGTAGGATGTTTAGGAAGTTGAACCTGCCCTGTGATGCACGCTGGTACACGAGGGCACACGCTGTCGCAGACGAGCCGTGCATAGGGAGCGTGTGTGTTTGTGATGCGCCGTAGAGTCTCCGCGGGTTTCAAATGAGCGCACAGGCTGCACTGAGACGCCCCACACGCTCCTGCACCCGCTACAAGTTTATTACCAACAGCAGCGGCCGGAATGAAATATGATCACACTTGTCGAGTGTCACACCTCGAGTGAGAGACAAGACCGAGTCCAAACGCGAGTCCGAGACGAGACACGACGATCTACCCACACGACCTTGGCGATCGACTGGTAGATCGAGATCGACGTACTGAGCACCACTGATGTAAACAGACTCATAATAAAAGATTTACTCAAACATGTGAACGAAACAAACAAACAAAACACAAGTCCAGGTTTGTTTTTGAGGAGGAACAACATTAGAACTCGATTTAAACCTGGCAGGATTCCATTTCGTTTAATGGAGGAGCATTAAAATAAAAGAGTAAACATCTCCTTACCTCGGTGAAGACTGGGGAGATGACTGTGGCGAGGCTGGTCGATTTATGCTCCGGAGTCTGAGACAATAAAACAGATAAGAGATTAAATTGCCGCAGATGGTAATAAAACCCGAGGCGTTTCCCATCAGTAAACAGAAGCAGTTAATGCAGGTTTAATGGTTTAATGAGGAGATAACGAGAGGAGCGGAGCGAGTTCCTCACCGATCCGTTCAGGACGCTGATGCCTTTGGGTTTCTTCTTCCTCACCGTCGTGAAGGACCACTCCGGGGACGGGTTGTTCTCTTTGTTACTGGATTCACTGAAAACACATTTTACAACATCTCAAGTGAAAAGTTAAGACGGTCATTCAAATCAAATGCTCCTCTGAACTTCTCCTCTAATCCTCTGCTCCTATGACCCGTTTCTCTGAACCTCTGACCTTCTGCTCTGCTCCTCTGACCTTCTTCTCTGCTCCTCTGAACCGTTTTTCTGTTCCTCTTAACCTTTTCTTTGCTCCTCTAACCCGTTTCTCTTCTCTGCTCCTCTGAACCGTTTTTCTGTTCCTCTGAACCTTTTCTCTGCTCCTCTGAACCGTTCTCCTCTGTTCCTCTGAACCTTTTCTCTGCTCCTCTGAACATTTCTTTGCTCCTCTTAACCTTTTCTTTGCTCCTCTGAACTTCTGCTCTCCTCCTGAACATTTCCCCTGCTCTTCTGACCCTTTTATCTGCTCCTCTGAACTTCTTCTTCTCTGCTCCTCTGAACTTCTTTCTCCTCTGCTCCTCCAAACTTCTCCTCTGCTCCTCTAAACTTCTCCTCTGCTCCTCTGAACTTCTCCTCTGCTCCTCTGAACTTCTCCTCTGCTCCTCTGAAACCTTTTCTTTGCTCCTCTGAACTTCTCCTCTGTTCCTGAACATTTTATCTGCTCCTCTGACTCGTTTCTCTGCTCCTCTGACCCTTTTCTCTGCTCCTCTGAACTTTCTCTCTCCTTGAACTACTTCTCCTCTGCTCCTCAAACTTCTCATCTGCTCCTCTAAACCTTTTATCTGCTCCTCTGAACTTTCTCTGCTCCTCTGAACCTTTTCTTTGCTCCTCTGAACTTTTCCTCTGCTCCTCTGAACTTCTCCTCTGACCTTCTCCTCTGAACTTCTCCTCTGTTCCTGAACATTTTCTCTGCTCCTCTGAACTTCTTCTTCTCCTGCTCCTCCAAACTTCTCCTCTGCTCCTCTGAACCTTTTCTTTGCTCCTCTGAACCTTTCTTTTGCTCTCTGAACTCTCCTCTGCTCCTGAACATTTTCTCTCTTCCTCTGAACATTTTCTCTGCTCCTCTGACTTTCTCCTCTGCTCTTCTGTTCCTCTTCTCGTTCTTTTCACTGGAGCTGAACTCTGTGGGTGACGTCAAACTCCCTCAGTCCTCTTCTTCACACAGTCTATGATCCATCTGTGGTTCTCTCCATTCGCCCATTTATTTATTTATTTATACATTTATTTATACATTTATTTATACATTTATTTATACATCTAACATCCGTCCGTCTTCATAAAAACTTCATTCCTGCACCAGGGCCGAACAAAGTGCCGTCCTGTTCTTGGCCCAGTTCCTGTTGTTCACGTCTTGTTCTTGTGGTTCGTTCTCGACGCCTCAGCTGAGCAGAACCGGTTTGGTGATGGATTTTGAGTGACAGCAGCTGGAGGAAACGGTGAGAAAAACATCCAAACATCTGAAGGACACGAGGCTCAGAGACGATTAAGAGAGAAATGGAAGAAAACCACGGAGCGACGTCGACGACATTTTAGGCTCGGACGAAAATCAGCGTAGAAAAGACTGGAGTAAAATCAGAGCGAGCGGCCAGCCTGCCTCTGCCCATTTAGTCCTGGTTTAGAGTCCTGGTTTAGTCCTGGTTTAGACCTGGTTTAGACCTGGTTTAGACCTGGTTTAGACCTCCTGGTTTAGACCTGGTTCAGTCCTGGTTTAGTCCTGGTTTAGACCTGGTTCCTGGTTTCAGTTCCTGGTTTAGTCAGTCCTGGTTTAGACCTGGTTCCTGGTTCAGTCCTGGTTTTTAGTCCTGGTTCAGTCCTGGTTTAGTCCCTGGTTTAGACCTGGTTCAGTCCTGGTTTAGACCTGGTTTCAGTCCTGGTTCAGTCCTGGTTCAGTCCTGGTTCAGTCCTGGTTTAGACCTGGTTCAGTCCTGGTTTAGACCTGGTTTAGACCTCCTGGTTCAGAGAGTCCTGGTTTAGTCCTGGTTAGTCCTGGTTCAGTCCTGGTTCAGTCCTGGTTTTGGTTTAGACCTGGTTTAGACCTGGTTTAGCCTGGTTTCAGTCCTGGTTCCTGGTTTAGTCCTGGTTCAGTCCTGGTTCAGTCCTGGTTTAGTCCTGGTTCAGTCCTGGTTTAGACCTGGTTCAGTCCTGGTTCCCTGGTTCCTGGTTTAGTCCTGGTTTAGTCCTGGTTTAGTCCTGGTTTAGTCCTGGTTTAGTCCTGGTTTCAGAGGTCCTGGTTTAGTCCTGGTTCAGTGGTTCAGTCCTGGTTTAGACCTGGTTCAGTCCTGGTTCAGTCCTGGTTCAAAGTCCTGGTTCAGTCCTGGTTCAGCCTGGAAAAGCCTCAGACTCGCTCCATTTCTTGGAACAAAGAAGAATAAAATAATAAAATAAAGTATTGCATAAAGCGTTGCTGCTGGGAAATATTTTAGTCGGAGGCAGAAACACGGTAGCGTCAAACACAGTGTGTAACCTCATGTATTTATCCCCGATAATGGTAAATTCCTGCTGCATTATCGGATGCACAAATAGAAGCACGGAAGAAGGAAAATGTCTTTTTCGTATTCTGAGTGAAAAGAACCACTAACGGTGAATTAAACGACTTTCAAACATCCGCAGAGCAAACGTAGAAGATCCTAACAAACCGTGGACTCCAACAAGTTCAACAACACATCGAGACTCTTGGAGGTTTTCATCTTTTCTGCTGTGAATGGCCCAGGAGTTTCCACCAAGTCATTGTGGATATCGCCCAAGTGAATATTTGTCCAGGTAGTTGGAGATTCTGACCAGAAATTTGGTTTGGTTTCACCTTTTGTCGGGGTTGAAAAGGGTGATTTGTCGTCCGTCGATGTTTATGACCAATTTCTGGTCAAATGGTCTTGGGTCCTCTGCCGTTAGAGTGGATAAATAACCAGGATCAATACCCTTTACGTGTTTTCTCGCTCCGTCCGTCATGTTGAATTAGTGTTTCTTGCCGCCGACCAAAATAATTCCCAGCATGAAACGCACGCTTTTGTCAACAATGAAACTCGCCTATTAAATAAAGGCTATTCATGTTACACATCCTTCTATCCATTCATTCATTCATTCATTCATTCTGTCTGTCTGTCAAACCAACATGGGCCAATTGTTGAGGATTTTGTAAAATGGTGTGAAGAGTCAAATCTACACCTGAAATGTTTCCAAAACGAAGGATATGATTATTGACTTTTGAAAACAAGCGCCTCAGTGTGACGTCACAGAGATAAAGGTTCAGTCAGTGGAGTGTGTGACTCATATAAATATCTATGAACAATCATTGATTCAAAATTGAGTTTTGACGATAATTGTTCTGTTGTGTGTAAGGCCGGTCGTACACTGTGCGATTTTTGACCCTTTTTGAGCCGATTTTTCGCTCGTGCGACTGTTTTGGGGATCGGGCCGAGTTTTAGCTTCATCGTGTGTCGTGCTTCGTGTAGTTTACATGGGGTAAAGAAAACCGATTAATGACTCACGACCAGCTCCCGATCGACATTCGTAGGTCGCAAGAAAATCAAACTTGTTTGAAATCCAGTCGCCTCTCGTGAGGATTTCGCTCTGTTGAAGTTGTTCCACGAACCGATTTGCCAGAATCTGGCAGACTGAACATGCGCGGACGCAGAAGCGGCTCAGCATTGTGTCTCCGCACATCTGTGGTTTTCTACTTCTGGAACAACAACTTTGACAACTCCGGTCGTCATGTGAACGTACAGTGTGAGCAAGTCGCATCCGAGCATCGGTTCGTTCAGTGTGAGAACATGATTCGTGAGCTGTGAACTGTTAAACCCTGTGATTTGGTCGTACAGTTTAAGCTGGGGCTGAGTGACACGACCGAAAATATCGCACAGTGTTCGACCGGCATAAAAGAGGCTCCAGCGCCTTCACTGTCTGAGAAAGTTTTCCTTTTACCGTGTCGACAGAACCATGACACTGTTTTATAAAACATTTATGGAATCAGTTTGAATGTTTTCATTGGTCTCATGGTTTGGGAGCGTCTCTGATAAAAACAACAACTCCCTCAGTCAGTTTGTTAAATGGGTGAGGAGGTGATTGTTCCTCAGAGTCTCTGGACTCGAGACATTTACAGACGACGTCCCAGAGGATTTTAAGAGACGTGCAACATCCACTGAACTCAGAGTTTCAGCTGCTTCTCTTTGGTCTGAGGCTTTTAGTCCCAAGATCTAGAACGAATCGTTTTAAAAGGAGCTTCGTTCCGGCTGCTGTCGCACTTATGAATAAATTGTAATTTATTTATCTAAGATTGTGTGTTTTTTACATATTTAAGATTTATTTATTGTGATTTTAGACAAGCGTGATGGATGATTTTAATTGGTTGTTTATGGAACAAACCGTTCTGCACTGGAGCGTCTGTAACACTTTATTGTGTTTTTATGTGTTTTGTGGATGAATGAAATGTGAAATGTGGAACCTGTATCTTAAATCTGCAAAGCAAATTTACCTACGGGTACGAATAAAGCGACCGAACCTGAACCTATCCATCCCTCCCCTCCATCTATGCATCCATCCATCCCTCTCCCACTCCTCCCTCCATCCCTCGTTCACCTGTCTGAGTCGTCGGAGCTGCTGTCGCTGTGTCCTTCTTCCTTCCACCTCCTGTATCGGTCGATCAGTTCGCTCAGATACGACGTTTTTTTGCAGTACTTCACGATGAACTTGTGCTTCAGCAGCTCTTTGGCCGTGGGACGCTGACAAACAAACAAACAAACAAACAAAAAACAATCAGAATTTCAGATATTAGAATTTCTACTCATCTTAAAAATTTAATAAAATAAAAAGACAGATTATTAACCTGGGACCAAATGACCTGGAGTTGTGTTTTGGTTCATTCACACATTTTTAACACAAACCCAAACGCAAAATCGATTTCATGATATTTGAGATTTTGAGACATCTCTAGGACCATAATGTTGGTTTTAAAATGATAAAATATGTTTATTTTGTAAACAAGGCCCAGGTCTGGTTCAGTGGATTAAATGAGGAGCAGGTGTTGTACAGTTTAAATCCACCAGGGGGAGACATTTTCCTACAGATCAAATGGGACTTGACTTTCCTCTGTGATAAGACTGTCAAGTTCTGTCATATATATATTTTTTTGACAAGCTTATTTTAGTTTATGTCAAATTCTCTAAAAAAAAAATAAAAAAAAAAATAAATAAATTTTAATTTAGGAGTTAGAAAGGAAAACAGTACATAAATTTATTTTAAAAGGGGGTATTTAATTCTATGGGGTTTGAGCTGTAAAACCTGCACCTGTGATTGAATAAATGTAAAGTGGAGCTGTTTAAAGTCACACTGCGGAACATTCCAGACAGAGCAATGACGTCTCCATAGAAACAAGCAGGTGACGGACCCCAAACCAAAAAGTTACACAGTGCAGCTTTAACGCAACCTGATCAGAGGCTCCTGGAAACGAGTTTTCAAACTTGGACCATAAACTTTTTTTTTTTTTGGACTGTCTTAGTTCTTAGTCCTGTCCTAGTCCTGTCCTAGTCCTAGTCCTCTCTTAGTCCTCTCTTAGTCCTCTCTTAGTCCTCTCTTAGTCCTGTCCTAGTCCTGTCCTAGTCCTGTCCTAGTCCTCTCTTAGTCCTCTCTTAGTCCTGTCCTAGTCCTGTCCTAGTCCTGTCTTCCTGTCTTAGTCCTGTCTTAGTCCTGTCTTAGTCCTCTCTTAGTCCTCTCTTAGTCCTGTCTAGTCCTGTCCTAGTCCTGTCCTAGTCCTGTCTAGTCCTGTCTTAGTCCTGTCCTAGTCCTGTCTCTTAGTCCTCTCTTAGTCCTGTCTTAGTCCTGTCCTTAGTCCTGTCCTAGTCCTGTCCTAGTCCTGTCCTAGTCCTGTCCTAGTCCTGTCTTAGTCCTGTCCTCCTGTCTTAGTCCTGTCCTAGTCCTGTCCTAGTCCTGTCCTAGTCCTGTCCTAGTCCTTAGTCCTGTCTTAGTCCTGTCTCTTCCTAGTCCTGTCCTAGTCCTGTCCTAGTCCTGTCTCCTGTCTTCCTAGTCCTGTCCTGTCTAGTCCTTAGTCCTGTCTAGTCCTGTCCTGTCCTTAGTCCTGTCCTGTCCTAGTCCTGTCCTAGTCCTGTCCTAGTCCTAGTCCTGTCCTAGTCCTGTCCTGTCCTAGTCCTAGTCCTGTCCTGTCCTAGTCCTGTCCTAGTCCTGTCCTAGTCCTGTCTTAGTCCTGTCCTAGTCCTGTCTCCTTAGTCCTGTCTCCTTAGTCCTGTCCTGTCCTAGTCCTGTCCTGTCCTTAGTCCTGTCCTAGTCCTGTCTTAGTCCTAGTCCTCTCTTAGTCCTAGTCCTCTTTAGTCCTGTCCTAGTCCTGTCCTAGTCCTGTCCTAGTCCTGTCCCAGTCCTAGTCCTGTCCTAGTCCTGTCCTAGTCCTGTCCTGTCTAGTCCTGTCTTAGTCCTGTCTTCCTGTCCTGTCTAGTCCTGTCCTGTCCTAGTCCTGTCCTGTCCTAGTCCTGTCTTAGTCCTGTCTTAGTCCTAGTCCTGTCCTAGTCCTGTCCTAGTCCTGTCTTCCTAGTCCTGTCTTAGTCCTGTCCTAGTCCTGTCCTAGTCCTAGTCCTGTCTCTTCTTAGTCCTGTCTTAGTCCTGTCCTGTAGTCCTAGTCCTGTCCTAGTCCTGTCCTAGTCCTCTCCTGTCCTTAGTCCTGTCCTGTCCTGTCCTGTCCTGTCTTAGTCCTGTCCTAGTCCTGTCCTAGTCCTGTCCTTAGTCCTGTCCTAGTCCTGTCCTAGTCCTTAGTCCTGTCTTAGTCCTGTCCTGTCCTAGTCCTGTCCTAGTCCTGTCTTAGTCCTGTCCTAGTCCTGTCTTAGTCCTGTCCTAGTCCTGTCCTAGTCCTGTCTTAGTCCTGTCTTAGTCCTGTCCTAGTCAGTCCTGTCCTAGTCCTGTCCTTAGTCCTGTCTTAGTCCTGTCTTTAGTCCTGTCCTTAGTCCTGTCCTAGTCCTGTCCTAGTCCTGTCCTGTCCTAGTCCTGTCCTAGTCCTGTCCTGTCCTAGTCCTGTCCTAGTCCTGTCCTGTCCTAGTCCTGTCCTAGTCCTGTCCTAGTCCTGTCCTAGTCCTGTCCTAGTCCTGTCCCAGTCCTGTCCTAGTCCTGTCCTAGTCCTAGTCCTAGTCCTAGTCCTGTCTAGTCCTTAGTCCAGTCCTGTCCTTTTTTTTTCTTCCTGTCCTTTTGTCCTGTCCTAGTCTGTCCTAAGTCGTGTGCGTTTTATCTCCGTGGTAACCGCTGAACATTCCACCCGTAGACACACACGCGGAGCACCCCCCCCCCCCCCGCTCGCCCTGGAGTATAAACGCGCGCTCGTGTCTCGTCGTGTGTGTCGTGTCTTACAAACGCCGGGTCCTTGTTGAGGCAGGACTCGGTGAACTCCTTGAAGCTCTTGGAGAAGTCTCCGGCGAGCGTGGGGGGCGGGGCTTTGGGGATGTGGAACAGGACTCTCATCGGGTGCATGTCCGAGTTCGGCGGTTCGCCTTTCGCCAACTCGATGGCGGTGATGCCCAACGACCAGATGTCGGCCTGGAAAAAACACAAACACACAAATAAAGACCCGACGCTTACAGGAGGTTTTGAAAACTCGGAATTAAAAAAGTTCTATTTGGAAATAATCATTTTGAGTTCAAAAACCAGGACTAAACCAGGACTAAACCAGGACTAAACCAGGACTAAACCAGGACTAAACAGGACTAAAACCAGGACTAAACCAGGACTAACCAGGACTAAACCAGGACTAAACCAGACTAACCAGGACTAAACCAGGACTAAAACCACGACTAAACCACAACTAAACCAGGACTACACCAGGACTAAACAGGACTAACAGGACTAAACCAGGACTAAACCAGGACTAAACCAGACTAACCAGGACTAAAGGACTAAACCAGGACTAAACCAGGACTAAACCAGGACTAAACCAGGACTAAACCAGGAGTGTTGTGACAGGCTCGGAGGTGCGCCTGCGTAAAATGTTGGGTGATCAAGACAGAGACCAGGACCAGGACTGAGGCTGGGACTGAGACCAGGACTGATCCATTTAGACCTGGTTTAGACCTGGTTCAGTCCTGGTTCAGTCCTGGTTCAGACCTGGTTTAGTCCTGGTTTAGACCTGGTTCAGACCTGGTTTAGTCCTGGTTCAGTCCTGGTTCAGACCTGGTTCAGTCCTGGTTCAGACCTGGTTCAGACCTGGTTCAGACCTGGTTCAGTCCTGGTTCAGTCCTGGTTCAGACCTGGTTTAGACCTGGTTCAGTCCTGGTTTAGTCCTGGTTCAGTCCTGGTTCAGACCTGGTTTAGACCTGGTTCAGTCCTGGTTCAGACCTGGTTTAGACCTGGTTTAGACCTGGTTTAGTCCTGGTTTAGTCCTAGTTTAGTTTTTAAAACTGTGCAGGATCGTTTCCTGGAAAAGCCTTGGACTCGTTCCATTTCTTGGAACTTTCTTAAGTGTTTTTATGATTTAGTTAAAGGTTCATTGTGTAACTTTCCCGGTGGAGGATCCAGCCTCTGTTTGTCTGGATGTTTTTGCCTTGGGGCTGGAATGTGCTACAAGTACAACAGTAAAGACTTTTATTTAGTCCTGGTTCAGTCCTGGTTCAGTCCTGGTTCAGTCCTGTCCTAGTCCGGTCCTAGTCCGGTCCTAGTCCGGTCCTAGTTCTGTCTTAGGTCTGTCTTAGTCTTGGTTTAGACCTGGTTCAGTCCTGGTTCAGTCCTGGTTCAGTCCTGTTCAGTCCTGTCCTAGTCCGGTCCTAGTTCTGTCTTAGGTCTGTCTTAGTCTTGGTTTAGACCTGGTTCAGTCCTGGTTTAGTTCAGTCCTGGTTTGATCTTTAAAAGTCAAACTGTGAAACATTCCAGGCAAAGCAGTAACATCTCCATGGAAACGAGCGAGTGACAGATCAGAAAAGTTCCGCAGTGCATCTTTAGGTTTAAAAGAAAAACCCCGTCCTGCGTTTGAAGTCAGGAATTTAGCAAAACGCAAAATATCTGAACCTCAAAACTCAGAAACACGACAGGACTCGTTCAGTCTCAGGTCACGACGACCCGGGTCGCTCGGGTCGCCCGGGCCGCTCTTGTCGTTCGGGTCGCTCGGGTCGCTCGTGTCGCTCGGGTCGCTCGGGTCGCTAGTGTCGCTCAGGTCGCTCAGGTCGCTTGTGTCGCCGTGTGTCCCTCGTCTCCCACACAAAGGAGAGAACAGAGGCTCAGGAGGGTCAGATTACAGACACGTTTGACGCTTTGACTCCGAGCAGATGGCGACTGCGGCTCGGGGACCGTGGCTCACCTGTACGGCTCGTCTGTACGGCTCGTCTGTACGGCTCGTCTTAAAGGGACAGAGACGTTTAAAGATCACGCGCCAAAATGTGACGAAATGTGAAAACAGTTTCGATAAATCCTCAAGTGATGTCACACAAGTTTTGAGGTCCGGAGCCAGTTTTGAGACCTGGTTTAGTCCTGGTTCAGTCTGGTTTAGTCCTGGTTTAGTCCTGGTTTAGTCCTGGTTCAGTCCTGGTTCCTGGTTTAGTCCTGGTTTAGACACGATTCAGCCCTTGTTTTAGTCCAAGTTAAGTCCTGGTTTAGTCCTGGTTTATTCCTGGTTTAGTCCTGGTTTAGTCCTGGTTTAGTCCTGTGGTTTAGATCTGGTTTAGATCTGGTTTAGACACGGTTCAGCCCTTGTTTTAGTCCAAGTTAAATCCTGGTTCAGTCCTGATTCAGTCCTGCTTTAGTCCTGGTTTAGATCCAATTTAATCCTGGTTTAGTCCTGCTTTAGTCCTGGTTTAGTCCTGGTTTAGATCCAATTTAATCCTGGTTTAGTCCTGGTTTAGTCCTGGTTTAGTCCTGGTTTAGTCCTGAGACCCAATTTAATCCTGTTTAGTCCTGCTTTAGTCCTGGTTCTTGATTATTCTTATGTAAACCCTGAGCTCTAAATGCAAATAAAAACCAAAGCAACAACAACAACAAACAACAGAACTCACAGTCAACTTAAACATGTTCAAAAACGTCGTACAATCGTCTGGTGACAGCGCTCTGAAGGGGGAGTGACTTAGGAGAGGAGACGAAAGTAAAGGCGTCGTTTTGGGAGAATACAACATTTTCAAAACAATAAAAAAAGGTTAAAAACTGATCTAAAAACGTTCTGTTACGGTTAAGACCCGCAGAAACAAACGTCTCTTTAAAATCTGCGTCATTTATTTATACATTTGCATGTCGTTTCAGAGGCTGAGCTGAGTTTAACGTCGGACTGGAGGTTTTTCCTGGGCGGGTTTGGGCGGGTTTTTACTGATGCAAAGTGAGAGTCTTAGAGCAATGGAAGAACATGCAAATAACAACACAAGAATCTGAAGGCGAAGGTTTATAAATAGAACAAACAACAACTGAGCCGGTTTGAGGTTCAAGTCCTAATGAAGACACGGTTTGGTCCTGTTATAGTCCTTGTTTAGTCCTGGTCTAGTCCAGGTTTTGATCCAGGTTTAATTCCAACACTCAGGATACAGGAAGTGCTCCACGGTGTTTTTAAACTCCACACACCTTCATAAGAATCATCTGCATAACTTCAAATGACTTTCAGTTTCATTGTCAGTCACTTTTACTGAAGGTAAAAGGAGCCGTTAAAGTTAAAACGACCACTTCATGACGTCACAGGAGCTGTTTTCAGAACGGTGCCGGGTCCTGCACCAGTTACACGAGGAACTGGTGGATTTACCACCAATCAAAAACAAGGCCGTACAAAAACAACCATCACAGCGAGAAAATAACAATCATGGATCTCATCATCGACACCAGCGAGTGTTTGTCCTCAGGCAAATCTTTATTTATCTGCGCTGTTTTCTTTGTTTATTTTAGCGTGTGACCTGGATGAACCTGCTCACGTCGACCGCGTCGTCACAGTTCACTTGGAAAAACAAAGTTTCACTTGGACTCGTGGTCTAACAGTCAACAAGTGTGATTATTTGTCATTACAGCTGCTGCTGTCGAGCAGGACCACGAGTGGCGTCTCACTGAGGCCCGTGTGCTTGTTTGATAAATGTGCCAAAATAACTTTAAAATGCTAATTAAATAAATGTTGAAAATGACAAACATGGTCTTGATTTGGTCTCGATGAGCTCTTCTTGGACTCATCTTGGTCTCAACCTTTGTAAGTCTTTGTCTTGGTCTCGGACTGGTCTTGGTCTGGATTACTGCGCTCTTGAGTACAACACTAGAAAATGTCCTCACTGACGTCATGGGAAACAGACATGGACAAAAGAGCCTCGTCCAGCCTTTGGGAATCATCTAAAAACAGAGGCTGCATGGGCCTTTGTGCTTCGTTCATTTTGTCAAGTATCTGCGGAAAACACCAGATATGTCGTGTCGGAACAGCGGTACTAAAAAGTGTCGGAAAACTGGCACGTCTAAAAAGAGGCATGTCGTAATGAAGCGATGTAAGAATAGACGGTGAACCCCGGTGTTCCCAAACGTCTTCTGGGAACCGTGACTAAAGAGACAGTTCTGCGTAATGTTGGATCTTTAAGTTCTCGCTCTCGTCGGTCCAATCGTTTGTGGCGGTTGTTTCGTGTCGTTTTCGTGTCGTTTCGTTTCGTGTCGTTTCGTGTCGTGTCGTTTAGTGTCATTTCGTGTCATTTTGTTTCGTTTCGTGTCGTTTCGTGTTGTTTCGTGTCGTGTCGTTTCGTGTCATTTTGTGTCGTTTCGTGTCATTTTGTGTCGTTTTGTGTCGTGTCGTTTCATGTCGTTACATGTCGTTTCGTGTCGTTTCGTGTCGTGTCATGTCGTTTCGTGTCATGTCGTTTCGTGTCATGTTTCGTGTCGTCGTGTCATGTCGTTCGTGTCGTGTCGTTTCGTGTCGTTCTGTGTCATTCGTGTCATGTCGTTCGTGTCATGTCGTTTCGTGTCATGTCGTTTCGTGTCATGTCGTTTCGTGTCATGTCGTTTCGTGTCATGTCGTTCGTGTCATGTCGTTTCGTGTCATGTCATTTCGTGTCATGTCGTTCGTCATGTCGTTCGTGTCATGTCGTTTCGTGTCATGTCGTTTCGTGTCATGTCGTATCGTGTCATGTCGTTTCGTGTCATGTCATGTCGTTCGTGTCATGTCGTTTCGTGTCATGTCGTATCGTGTCATGTCGTTTCGTGTCATGTCGTTCGTGTCATGTCGTTTCGTGTCATGTCGTTGTCGTGTCATGTTGTTTCGTGTCATGTCGTATCCTGTCATGTGTCGTGTTCGTTTCGTGTCATGTCGTTTCGTGTCATGTCGTTTCGTGTCATGTTCGTGTCATGTCGTTCGTGTCATGTCGTTTCGTGTCATGTCGTTTCGTGTCATGTCATGTCGTGTCATGTCGTCGTTTCGTGTCGTGTCGTTTCGTGTCATGTCGTTTCGTGTCGTGTCGTCGTTTCGTGTCATGTCGTTTCGTGTCATGTCATGTCGTTTCGTGTCATGTCGTGTCATGTCATGTCGTTTCGTGTCATGTCATGTCATTTCGTGTCGTTTCGTGTCATGTCGTATCATGTCATGTCGTTTCGTGTCATGTCGTTTCGTGTCATGTCGTTTCATGTCATGTCGTTTCGTGTCATGTCGTTTCGTTTCGTGTCATGTCGTTTCGTTTCGTTTCGTGTCATGTCATGTCGTTTCGTGTCATGTCGTTTCGTGTCGTTCCGTGTCATGTCATTTCGTGTCATGTCGTATCGTGTCATGTCGTATCGTGTCATGTCGTATCGTGTCATGTCGTTTCGTGTCATGTCGTTTCGTGTCATGTCGTTTCGTGTCATGTCGTTCGTGTCATGTCGTTTCGTGTCATGTCGTTTCGTGTCATGTCGTTTCGTGTCGTTTCGTGTCATGTCATGTCGTGTCATGTCGTTTCGTTCCGTGTCGTTCCGTGTCGTTTCGTGTCATGTCGTTTCGTGTCATGTCGTTTCGTGTCATGTCGTTTCGTGTCATGTCGTTTCGTGTCATGTCGTTTCGTGTCATGTGTCATGTCGTTTCGTGTCATGTCTTCGTGTCGTGTCGTGTCATGTCGTTCCGTGTCGTTTCGTGTCATTCGTCGTTCGTGTCGTGTCGTTTCGTGTCGTTCCATGTCGTTTCATGTCATGTCGTTTCGTTTCGTGTCATGTCGTTCCGTGTCATGTCGTTCGTGTCATGTCGTTTCGTGTCGTCGTTGTGTCGTTCGTTTCGTGTCATGTCGTTCCGTGTCATGTCGTTTCATGTCATGTCGTGTCGTTTCGTGTCATGTCGTTCGTGTCATGTCGTTTCGTGTCATGTCGTTTCGTGTCATGTCGTTTCGTTTCGTGTCGTTCCGTGTCGTTCGTGTCATCATTTCGTTTTGTGTCATGTCGTTCCTGTCGTGTCGTTTCGTGTCATGTCGTGTCATGTCGTTTCGTGTCGTTTCGTGTCATGTCGTTTCGTTCGTATCATGTCATGTCGTATCGTGTCGTTTCGTTTCGTTTCGTTCCGTGTCGTTTCGTGTCATGTCATTTCGTTTGTGTCATTTCGTTTCTGTCGTGTCGTTTCGTGTCATGTCGTTTCGTTTCGTATCATGTCATGTCGTATCGTGTCATGTCGTTTCGTGTCGTGTCGTTCCGTGTCATGTCGTTTCGTGTCGTGTCGTTCCGTGTCATGTCGTGTCGTTCCGTGTCATGTCGTTTCGTGTCATGTCGTGTCGTTTCGTGTCATGTCGTGTCGTTTCGTGTCATGTCGTGTCGTTTCGTGTCATGTCGTTTCGTGTCATGTCGTTTCGTGTCGTTCGTTTCGTGTCGTTTCGTGTCATGTCGTGTCGTGTCGTGTCGTTTCGTGTCATGTCGTGTCGTGTCGTGTCGTGTCGTGTCGTTTCGTGTCGTTTCGTGTCATGTCGTGTCGTTTCGTGTCGTTTCGTTCATGTGTCATGTCGTTCGTCGTGTCGTTTCGTGTCATGTCGTGTCGTTTCGTGTCATGTCGTGTCGTTTCGTGTCATGTCGTGTCGTTTCGTGTCATGTCGTCGTGTCGTGTCGTGTCGTGTCATGTCATGTCGTGTCATGTCATGTCGTGTCATGTCGTTTCGTTTCGTGTCATGTCGTTTCGTGTCATGTCGTATCATGTCATGTCGTTCCGTGTCATGTCATGTCGTATCATGTCATGTCATTCGTGTCGTGTCGTGTCGTGTCGTGTCATGTCATGTCATGTCGTGTCATGTCATGTCGTATCATGTCGTTCGTTTCGTGTCATGTCGTTCCGTGTCATGTCATGTCGTGTCGTGTCGTTCCGTGTCATGTCGTTTCGTGTCATGTCGTTTCGTGTCATGTCATGTTTCGTGTCATGTCGTGTCGTTCGTGTCATGTCGTGTCGTGTCATGTCATGTCGTTTCATGTCATGTCGTTCATGTCATGTCATGTCGTGTCATGTCATGTCATGTCGTGTCGTGTCGTGTCGTTTCGTGTCATGTCGTGTCATGTCATGTCGTCCGTGTCATGTCATGTTTGTTTCGTGTCATGTCGTGTCGTGTCATGTCGTGTCGTTTCGTGTCATGTCATGTCGTTTCGTGTCATGTCGTTTCGTTTCGTGTCATGTCGTATCATGTCATGTCGTATCGTGTCATGTCATGTCGTTTCGTGTCATGTCGTTTCGTGTCATGTCGTTTCGTTTCGTGTCATGTCATGTCGTTTCGTGTCATGTCGTTCGTTTCGTGTCATGTCGTATCATGTCATGTCGTTCCGTGTCATGTCATGTCGTTTCGTGTCGTGTCATGTATGTCGTATCATGTCATGTCATGTCATGTCGTGTCATGTCATGTCGTATCATGTCATGTCGTTCCGTGTCATGTCATGTCTCTCACCTTGGAGTCGTAGGCAGATTGCTGGATGACCTCGGGGGCCATCCAGAACGGCGTCCCCACAAACGTCTCCCTCTTGATCTGAGTGTCCGTGAGTTGCCCGGCGACGCCGAAGTCCGCCAGCTTCACCTGCCCGTGCTCCGACAGAAGCACGTTAGCCGCTACGGACGACAAAAATACAAACAATTAAACAAAAATACAAACAAAAACACAATTAAAGACGTTGTGCCTGATTTATTTTATTTTTATTTTCTTAAAACATGTAACTTTCTGGTGGAACGTTCGTAACCCGCTTGTTTCTTTAGAAATGTTATTTTGTCTAGAATGTCCCCCAGTGTGGCATTAAACTCATCTGTTTCTATTTAGACAATCCACATGCCTCCAGACCAAGTTACAGGTCAGATCTGTGGAGCGGCGAGTCACTCACTGGAGGAACGCATGTTATTTGCATTTTTTGTCCTCTGCATTTGACCCGTCCTTTCAGGAGCAGTGGGCAGCACATGGGGCGACCGGGGACCCATCTGGACTTGGTCAGGACTTGGGCTTGAGTCAGGGCTTGGACTTGGTCAGGACTTGGTCAGGACTTGGTCAGGGCTTGGACTTGGTCAGGACTGGACTTGGTCAGGGCTTGGACTTGGACAGGGCTTGGACTTGGTCAGGGCTTGGTCGGGACTTGGTCAGGGCTTGGACTTGGTCAGGACCTGGACTTGGTCAGGGCTTGGACTTGGTCAGGGCTTGGACTTGGTCAGGGCTTGGTCAGGACTTGGTCAGGACTTGGTCAGGACTTGGTCAGGACTTGGTCAGGACTTGGACTTGGTCAGGACTTGGACTTGGTCAGGGTTTGGTCGGGGCTTGGACTTGGTCGGGACTTGGACTTGGGTCAGGGCTTGGACTTGGTCAGGGCTTGGACTTGGTCAGGGCTTGGACTTTGGTCAGGGCTTGGACTTGGTCAGGACTTGGACTTGGTCAGGACTTGGTCAGGACTTGGATTTGGTCAGGACTTGGATTTGGATTTGGTCAGGACTTGGTCTTGGTCAGGGCTTGGGCTTGGTCTTGGACTTGGTCAGGACTTGGACTTGGTCAGGACTTGGACTTGGTCAGGACTTGGACTTGGTCAGGATTTGGTCAGGACTTGGTCAGGACCTGGACTTGGTCAGGACTTGGTCAGGGCTTGGACTTGGTCAGGACTTTGGTCAGGACTTGGTCAGGTTTTGGTCAGGACTTCCTTAGCTGCAGATTAGGACCTGTCTTGGGTTGATGGGGTAAACCAGTGGGGCCAAACTCTGACCTCCAGCTGCTTGTAGAAAATATCTTCGTCCTGGGGCAGGGCCGTTTGTTCTCAAATACACGGAATATTTAACAAGTAGGTGTGTGTGAAACGGCAATAAAAAAATCTAATTAAGATCTGACTCCCATTTTACAAGAGTCTTTAAATGTAATATTCAACCACACAGGCTTTACCAAGAAGAACGTCAAAATCATGTGAAAATCAAGGTCACGTCAAAGTTTTAAAGGTCTTATATTACTGAAAAACTGACTCTTGTGAGATTTACAACACCAAACATTAGAACATAGATCAGAAAATAGTGTTCAGATGTTGTATAATCACAGTGGAGCAAAGGATCATGGTCTCTGTAGTTCCCTCTGGCGACAGTTCAGTCTCGCAGTATTGGGACTCGTACCTTTAATGTCGCGGTGGATCTTCCTCTCCGAGTGGAGGTAGTCCAGCCCCTTCAGAATCTCCTTCAACATGGTGGCGATCTGAGTCTCGTCGAAGGGTCCGGCTCGTAACTGAGGAAACACAAAAACACACGAGAGAGTCTTTAATCTGATTTTTACGTTATTTATTCACACAGGAGACGTCAAAATATGAAGCAACATACAGTATTTACATAGAACTTGAAACTTTTTTTGTTTTTTTGCTCAGTTTTTCCCGTGAAAACAGAGACACAAGAGGCTGCACATGGACATTTGAGAAGCAGCAGGTTTTTTTTACACCATGTGGCAGAAGATCTTCCAGTGGAAACACTTTGAGGGAATGAACACGAGTGTTGGACTGAGTGAAATTAGCTGAACAGTGTTGGGGAAGTGACTTTTAACTCTCTCCAGGCAGACGTTGCAGATTTGCAACAGCTAAATGCCAATGACCTACTTACTCCAAATCCATATTTTATTAACTTTTTTTACTCTGGAGCCTTTTTTCACATCCGTGCTGATAAACGTGGACGATGCAGACTGTGTAAGAACGACTACACACAAACAAACAACCAGAAGTGTAAAGTTCTTTTGTTGTTTATAAAGGATAAAAAATGTTTCTTGGAGCAACACATGAAAAAGTGCTGTTGTTGTGCCGCTGTAAAACTGTTACACTGAGCTTTATGTTTTCATCGTTATGAAAAGTGGTTTAAACATAAAGTTATTGTTCATATCATTTTCAGTCTTCAGTGTTAATTTATCACCGGACCAAATCTGCAACATCTGAAACGTCCCAGACACACTGATGTGAAAGTGTCTCTCAAACAAAAAGTCAGGATTGTATATTACTACACATATGATCATTTTCCCCAAATATCAGATTTTTTCCTGTTACTAAAATTTTATTTGAGCCTGAGAGGATTAAAAAGTCGTGTTTGCTCGTTACGTGTTACTTCTTAAAGTAATCCCTTACTTTACTTAGTTACTCTCTATGAAAAGTCACTTTTTACGTTCCTCGTTACTTGATCTGAGGATAAACACGACAGGAGAGCGACAGTCGACAAGAACCGTGAGGGAAAGAAGAAAAGAAGTTTGCAGAGAGTCAAGAGGAAGTGAAACTGTTCAGAGTAAACGGGTCGGGTCAGTCTGTCCTCAGCTCAGCGGGGGGGGGGGGGGGGCCTCTGCTCAGGGGCCGACCCGCGTACACAGAAAAGTAACGCTGCACCGAATTGAAAAAGGAACTATGTTTCATTACCAAATTTTAGGGCTGGGCGATATGGATCAAAAAATATATCTCAATATATTTTGCTATATCTCGATATACGATAAATATCTCCATATATGTTCAAGAAAAAATAACCCCCTAAAACTGAAAACTACAAAAACAAATCTGCCAAATTCCACAAGGTCCTTTTTTTTAATTGAAGTGTAAGAGGTCGACAGTTCATACAGGAACATTTAAGATTACAAAAAACCCTAATTACATAAATAATAATTTAACTGGAAAATAAAAGAAATAATATATATTTCCTCTTTTAATTCATAAATAAAACAACTCAACACAAGCTCATCTTTGTATTAACTCTGTTATCCAAACCAGAACCAGAACCATGAGCTCCTTTAGCAGAAGAAGCTCAGGATGTTCCTTATTTCAATAGATCCATGTTATTATCCAGCGTCAGGATCTGAGGTTTAATCCCACAATCCACTGCAGATCAAACCCAACGTTTCCAAACACTGTTGTACAAGTGACACTGCAGCAGATTATTAATTTAAATCTTCTGCATAAATAAACTTTACATTGCTAAACTTTACAATATATAAAGTATAACGACTCTAGAGCCACATCAGCCTGTTTGCGATAATAATGTGTTTAATGCAGTTTTGCGCACGTGCGTTTACATTTTACAGAAATGAAACTTAAGCACATGGCTCATTTGCATAAACAGTGCACTCGTTTAGCTTCTTTCGGGCTAAAGGACGCGACTTGGTGGAACATGAGGATGTGCTGCTGATGTTCTTGCCTGTAAATGGTGGAAAAGGTTTGTGGCGCTAGAAGTTTTTCACTGGCACCAACTTTCAGCGTTCAGGACGACAGTGACGAGTGAAGGAGACACGAGCAACAAAATCAGGGAGGCGACGAGAGAGAAGGAAAACAAGCGAAGCGACGAAATCAGAATTGAATCTAAGCATTATATCGATATATACGATATGTCAGAATTCATATCGAGTTTAAAAACTATCTCGATATATTTAAAATATCGATATATCGCCCACCCCTACCAAATTTTCAGTAGCGGCGTGTTACAGTATTTTTACCCGTTAAAAATAGTTTCATTACCGAAACGCATCACAACAACACTGTCCATGAAAACAGTTTTTAAGAGGCTGGATAAAGAGACAGTTACCATCTCAACAGATACATACAGTCAACAAATATAATATTATAATATGTGTAAATGTTTTACTAATGAAACGAAAGGAGATTTTTAGAGACTGATGTAAATGTTTGTTTTATGTTTTAATGAAGGATGTTGAGTGTCTAATTGTTTTAACTCCCCTTCCCCTGGCTGCTCTGTCATGTCCAGGCCGACACTGTAAATAAGAAATTGTTCTTAAAGGTTGTATAGAGGATTTTCCAAGGAACGAGAAATCCAGCGACTGTTTGTCCTTTTTCAAATGTTGCGCATGCATGTTTTTTTGGTCATCATAATTACAAGGCGACTGCATCTCTATAATCTATCATTGACAATTTGAAACAAAAAAAAATCCTCCATACAACCTTTAATGTTTTGCCTGGTAAAATAAAGGTTAAATAAATAAATAATAATATAATATCATAACGATATTAAACCTACAAGCTGCAAAATGAGTAAAAAACAGACGTCGTTGGATCTGTTTATTATATTTACACAATATCACAGTTTTTGTGTTTATCTGCCACACCTTAAAGTCCGCTCCACTAAAAAAAGTTTGGGGATCAGTGCGGTAAAGGACATGCTGGTGAAGCTGGTGAACGTGTTTAAACACAAAACAACAGAGAAATAAAACTGAAGTCGTTAGTATCAGTGTTTGCACAACACACGGGTCCTGTTGCTCAAATCATTTTACTTTTTGTTTTGTAATCACAGCGTCGAAAAACAGATTAGCAGCTTTCATAGGTGTTTTTTTTCCTAAGATAAAGTCAAAATTTTGTCGATGCTGCTGCTGCTTATATTCAGGTGCACTCAATAGTCCAGAAAATACGGTAATGGGGCAACAGACCCTTTTGTCCCTCGCCTGTTTACGGCTCTGCTTAATCAAATGAAACACAAAACACACACCGAAGTTCTTTTAGAGGTGCAAATGCAATGAGCAGTAAAATAAAAGTTAAAAAAAATGCGATGTTCAAAAACTTTTTTTTTTTTTTACATTTCGGCAAAAAAAAAAAAAAATTGAACTTGCTTGAAAATGTGTCTGAAAAAGGCTTTTTTTTTTTTTCTACTTTTATTCTACTGAAGCAAAGTGCAAAGTGTGGAGACATTTTCAGGAACACATTTATAATAATCCATATTTCCAGAACATTCTAAGACAATTTCCCACGCGTTTCTTTTTTGTTTTTATAAGTTGTGGTTATTCTCCAGGTTTTCCAGAATTTCCAGGACGCGCGGGAACCCTGAAAACCGCATCGATACTCAAGAGTTTTGAACCAGTTTCGACAGAAGAACCAACAAAAGAACCGACCTGCGAATCTTGTGCAACGATTTAACCCCGAAGTCGTCGTTACATCATCAAAAAAAATGGAAAAGTCCGTGGGCTGTTTATCGTTTATTTAAATCAAAACAGGATCAGACACGACGGAGACTTCGTTCAAATGCGACGAGTCCCGTCCCACGTTGGATCCCTGTTGGAGACTTTTCAAAGATTTGGATCCAAGTTTCTCTGAACAGGTTTAGTCTTGAGTTTAGCCCACGAACAAACGCAAGATTAAACAAAATCATCACACAAGTACAGCAGATTTTATTTAGATTATGACACAAAACGGACTCTCGTGAGGTTTAAGTCGAGTTCTAATGTTGTTTACTTGTCAAAAACATGTCTGGAGTTGTGTTTTGTTTCATTCACACGTTTGAGTAACTCTTTATTATTAGTCTGTTCCACCTTGTGATGTCACGAAGTGCTGTTTTTTCACGTGAACAGCTCCTTTTTTTAAATTTTTTTTATCTTTAGTTCAGTAGAGATCGGCGATTCCAGGACCGAAATGATCCAAGTGATTCTGGTGAAGGTGTGTGGAGTTTAAAAACACAGCAGAGCACTTCCTGTCTCACCACATGATGACATCACAAGGTGGAACAGAGCGTTTTCAGTTCGAGAGAAGAACTCTTTTTTTTTTTTTTTTATGTGCTCTTCAGATGTTCGCACCTTTACTACGAGATGGAGCTGAGCGATTTTAAGAAAAATTCGAGTTGTGATTTTTCTGGCAGATATTGAGATTTCAATTTCATGATCCAAGATTTTATTCAAATAAGTTTCAGTGCCCATCAATGTTTTCAAACATCACAGGAACTTATGTCAGACCAGAGTCCTGCACCGACGATTTGACGCCGGATCAGTTTATGGAGACAATAAGAGCTGTGATTGGTCGTTTCTACCGTTGCTCAACACACATTTCCTGTTCTCTGTTTTCCTTTCTTTAAATATACATTGAGTAATAATGTGTTTAATGCAGATTTGACACATTTGTTTACGTTTTACAGAAACTAAACTTAAAACCACATGACTCATTTGCATAAACGATAAGCTCTG